TATCCACTAAATAAAAAATTCAACAAGTAGAATGTAGCTATAGTTTTGTATTCTGCTTTGAAGTAGGTGTTGTGATGCCTCCAGCTTGATTTATTTTTCTTAGGATGACTTTGTCTATTCTTGATATTTTGTGATTCCATATGAATTTTAAGATTTTTTCTAGTTCTATAAAGAATGTGATTTGGGGGCTGGTGCTGTGGCATAGTAGCTTAGGCATCTGCCTGTGGTGCAGACATCCTATTGGGCTCTGGTTCGAATCCCAGCAGCTCCACTTCCAATCTAGCTTCCTGCTGATGGCCTGGAAAAGCAATAGAGGATGGTCCAAGTACTTGGGTGCCTGCTCCTGCTTGGGTTACCCAGAAGAAGCTCTTGGCTTCCCATCAGCCCAGCTCTGGCTGGCTGTTGTGAGCATTTGGAGAGCAAACCAGTGAATGGAAGACCTTTCTCTCTGTTTCTCCCTCTCTGTCTGTAAATTTGCCTCTACAGTAAAGAAATTAAAACCTTTTTTTAAAAGGGATCTCTCTCTCTCAGAGAGAGAGAGATACATACACACACACACACACACACATATATATATATGTACGGGATCTCTGTATCTATATATACATAAATGTAATTCTGCCTTGAAAAATACATAAATAATTTTAAAAATAATGTAATTTGTATTTTGATAAGGATTGTATTGAATCTATAGATTGTTTTAGATAGTATACACACTTTAATGATATTGATTCTTACAATCCGCAAGTAAGAGATATCTTTCCATTTTTTGTGTCCTTGTTAACTTCTTTTATCAATGTTTTATAATTTTCATTTTAGAGATCTTTTACTTCTTTTGTTCATTTTTATCTAAATATTTAATTTTGTGTGGCTATTGTGAATGGGATTTTTTTCTTGATTTGACTTTTGAAGAGTTAATGATTAGCATATAAAAAGGTACATTTTTCCATATTTTTATTTTTTAACCTGCAACTTTACTAAATCGTTTTGCTTTTTCTAACAGCTTTTCAGTGGACCATTTAGGTTTTCCTATGTACAATATCATGCCATCTGCAAACATGGATATTTTGACTGTTTCTTTCCTGTTTTGATAGATTTATCTCCCCAATTGCTACTGCTAATACTTCCAATACTATATTGGGTAAGAGTGGTAAAGGTAGATACTCTTGTCTTGTTGCACATCTGAAGAGAAATGTTTTCAGCTTTTCCCCTTTTATTATCATATTGACTGCTGATTTGTTCTATATAACTTTTACAATTTTGATGTATGCTCCTTGTCTACCTAAATTGTGGAGTTTTTTTTTTTTTTAATGAAGGGATATTGAATCTTATCAAACGTTGTCTATTGGGATAACCATATGGTTTTTGTACTTTATTCTGTTGATGATAAGATATTTACTGATTTGTGAATGTTGAACCACCCTTTCATTTCTGGAATCAGTCCCACTTGATTGTGATGTATGATCTTTCCAATGTGGTATTGGCTTTGATTTGCTAGCATTTTGTTGAAAATTTTCCCATCTGTCTTCAGTAGTTTTCATATCATGTCTCAGTTCAACTTTTGTGTCAGATTGATGCTCACCTTACATAAAGTTTGACAGGATTCCATTCTTTTCAGTTTTCTGTAATAGTATGAAAAGAGTTTGTTTCTCTTTAAATGTTCTATAGAATTTAGTACTAAAGCCATCAGATCCTGGAATTCTTCTTGATGAGAGATTTAAAAAAAAAAGATTTGTTTATTTAAGAGACAGAGCCACAAAGAGAGGGAGAGACAGATTTTCCATCCATTGGTTCACACCCCAAATGGCTGCAATGGCTGGAGCTGGGCCAGTCCAAACCAAGGAGCCAGGAGCTCATCTGGGTCTTCCAAGTGGGAACAGGGGCCCAAGTACTTTGGACCATCTTGTGCTTTCCCAGGCCACCAGAAGGGAGCTGCATTGGAAGTGGAGCAACTGGGACTCAAACTGGGACCCATATGGGATGCCTGCACTGCAGTTGGAGGCTTAACTTACTATTTAGGGAGCCAGTGAGACACTTTTAATTACTGCTGCGTCTGATTGCTTGCTATTTATTGATTAGATATTCTATTTCTTCTTGACTTAATCTCATTAGGCTATATGTAGCCAGGAATTTATCCATTTTGTTGAAATCTTCCAACTTGTTAGCTTATATTTGTTCATAGTAGTTTCTTCTGATCCCTTGTATTCCATTGGTATTGATGCAATGTTCTCTTTTTCATCTCGTGTTTACCTATATGAGTTTTTTCTCTTTATTCTTTGTTCTTTATTTTGTTAATTTTAAATTAATTTTAACAGATTCATTGTGATTTGTAGTTAGAATTCTAAGAACATAATGATATTCCCATTCACCCTCCTTCCCTCCCCTTGCCTCCCTGTTACCCTTCTTCCTGCTCCCTTTCTTTATTTTAGTTTTTTGAGATAACATATACTTCACCAATAAGAAGTATAACTAGAAAAAAGCAAAATGACCCTCATTTAAAGGACTATAGACAACAGCTATAAACAATAATTGAATGGAAAAATGACCATTTCACCCATATACAATAAAACAAATGAAGATAAAGAAATGTGTGCATTGGTATCACTGCAAATACAGTTTTATAAAACTTTATTTTATACCTTTGTCAAACCAATGGTTAAGAATGTTTAGTACTATAATTTGTAATAATTTTTTCTTTGTTAATCTGGCAAAAGTTGTGTTTATTTTATTTATCTCTTCAAAAATAGCTTTGCATGATGGTGAGTTGGTGATCTAAATTTTGCACCTAAATAACCAATTATACATTACCATGTAGTTAATACTCAGTTGTTTCATATTGATCTATCAAATATCAGATTTTTTATAGGCAAGTTTATATTTCTGTGTACTCTTTTCTGTTTCATTGGTCCATTTCTTTACAAATACAACATAGGCTGAATTTAAACAACTCCATATTAAGTCCTGGTATATGGAAGCATAAATACCCTTACTCTGTTATTCTTCCTTAGGGATTTCTTTGCTAACCTAGGTCCATAGGATTTTCCACATAAATTTAGAAATCAAGTCATAAAAATTCTTTTGGGATTTCAAATAGAACTGACTTGAATCCAAGGGTGAACATTGAAAAAATTCTATCTTTAAAATACTGAGATATTTGTCCATAACCATAAAATTTTAATTTATTTAGGGCCTTTAGAACATTTTTAATAAATATTAATGTTTTCTCAATAAAAGATTTTATATACACAAAATTATATTTAGTCATAAAATCTTAATTTTTGTAATTAAAATAATTATTTCTATTTTTTATGTTTTAATTAGTTGATTTTGTACTTGAAAAATAAAATTCTTAAGTGCTGAAACTTAACTGAAAAGTGATTGCTGGTAAATATAAGAGTGGGAATAAGAGAGGAAAGAGATGTGCAATTCAGGACATGCTCAAGCTGACTTGTGCCAAATGGTAGAGTTAGAAACATACCAGGGGTTTCCAATTCAATCCCATCAAGGTGGCATGTACCAATGCCATCTCACTAGTCCCAGTGATCAATTTCTGCTCACAATTGATCATAATGATAGGACTAAGAACCAAAGCGATCACATAAACAAGAATAGTGTCTGCAAATACTAGCTGATAGAATCAAAAAGGGAGAGAACGATCCAACATGGGAAGTGAGATACACAGCAGACCCATAGAATGGCAGATGTCCTAAAGAGCACTCTGGCCTCAGAATCAGCCCTTAAGGCATGCAGATCTGGCTGAAAAGCCCATGAGAGTATTTCAGGCATGGAAAGCCAAGACACTCTGGCAAAAAACAAAAACAAAAACAAAAACAAAAAACCTAAATGAAAGATCTCTGTGAGTGAGATCCCAGTGGAAAGAACAGGTCTTCAAAGAAGGAGGTACCTTTCTCTGAAGGGAGGAGAGAACCTCCACTTTGACTATGACCTGTCTAAACAAGATAAGAGTCGGAGAACTCAAGGGGCTTCCATAGCCTTGGAAACTCATGACTGGTGCATAGGGAGATTACTGATGCCATAAACAGGAGTGTCAATTTGTAAAGTCAACAACAGGAGTCACTGTGCACTTACTCCTCATGTAGGATCTCTGTCCTTAATGTGCTGTACATTGAGGCTTAATGCTATAACGAGTACTCAAACAGTATATTTCACTTTGTGTTTCTATGGGGGTGCAAACTGTTGAAATCTTTACTTAATGTATACTAAACTGATCTTCTGTTAAGAAAAAAAAGAAATTATCAATTCCCAACTTGACTCTCACTGGGATTAAACATAACAATAGGTCTGATCTGATTTCATCATCATTTAAAATATCATCTATTATTTTTCACTTTGTTTCTGTGTGGGAGCAAACTGTTGAAATCTTTACTTAATGTATGCTAAACTGATCTTCTGTATATAAAGAGAATCAAAAATGAATCTTGATGTGAATGGAAGGGGAGAGGGAGTGGGAAAGGGGAGGGTTGCGGGTGGGAGGGACATTATGGGGGGGAAGCCATTGTAATCCATAAGCTGTACTTTGGAAATTTATATTCATTATATAAAAGTTAAAAAAAAAGAAAAATAAAATTGCTTTCTGTATACTATTCTTAAACCAGTTACCATTAAAAAACTTACATATTCTAAAAATATGCACACAGATTCTTAAGATTTTTCTTTTTTTTTTTTTTTGACAGGTAGAGTGGACAGTGAGAGAGAGAGAGAGACAGAAGATTCTTAAGATTTTTCAATGTGAATAGTCAAATCAGCATAGACAGTGATTAGTTTTTTTATGAAATTCCTTGATTTATTTTTTCTAAGACAAAATAAAATAGATGGTAGTTAATATAGTTAATATGTAACAATAATAAGATTTTAATTATAAAAATATTTAGGAATAATTCTTTCTTCTTTATTTCTTGTGGTAGGCCAAAAATTATGATCCAATAATAGCCATGCTCTAACTCCAGGAACTGATGAGTGCTAAATGTTATTTTTTGTAGATGTGATACAGTTACCCATGTGGGTCCCAGATGAGGTCACAATGTCCTTGGAGAGGTAGAGTGGTATTTGACCTAGACGGAAGAACTGAAGAGAAGGTGACAGGGTAGGCAGAGACAAGCTATGGAGTATCAGCTGCCACAGGAATCTGGGGGAGGTAAGAGCATGTTGTCCTCAGGAGCCTCTGGAGGGAAACGAACATATGGACATCATAGTGTTAGCCCAGCAGCAATGACCCCTGATGATTTCTGGCCTCTAAAACTGGGAAGAAATATCTGTTGTTTCAAGGCACCCATTTTATAGCAATTTCTTATAGTGATCATAGGATACCATGGTATTTCTTAATGATTTCTTCTTAAAATGTTTGCTGTAAGTTTTAATTACATTCTCTTTATGAGATTGAGAATTTAGAGGTTCTTCTTAGTGTTTGAAGAGTTTTTGTGGTGAATGGGTGATGAATAAATTTTTGTATTGATTATTTCCTTTTACCTTTTAACACAAATGATGCACATACACATAGGTTGTTCTAAATATAAACTGTTTGCTTTCCTAAGATAAACTCAACATGTGCATCATGTTTTATGTTTTAATAGATAAGATTTGTTAAAATTTATTGAGAATTTTATGTCTACATTTACATGAACTGAATTATACTATTCCTTTCTTGTACTGTAACTTTTTTATTTTGGTGTAAGATAAAATAGCTGTAAACGATTAGCTTGTGCTTGATTTATTTGTATTTACTAGTGATGTTTATGTAAGAATTGATTATCAATTCCAAAGCCAGGTTTAAATTTACTCTATACAAGGAAGGTGATAGTAATGATCCTCCAAAAAGTAATTTTGATAAACTCAAATTTAACAATATTTTTATGGTATTATGGAATGGGTCATGAATTCAATCCATTTAACAAATCAGAGTTAATATGAACACAATCCACTATGGGACAAGTAGAAGACTTTATCATATCTCTTTATATCATAATT